TCGGTTTATCCAGGTACAAATATTTATTCAATAAATAATTGAAAACTAGAGATATAACCTTTACTGTTGAAAAGATTTGGTATAGGATTTACAAAAATTAAGTTATGTAAATCCAAATTAGGGTCACCTAGTGGACTTGGTCTAATACCCTCTGAGGAGAGGACACCTTCACCTTTTTATTAGTAGAAGTTTGACCCGTTACTATACTTTACTTTAAATAAATTATAAATGATAATAAAAATCAGAAAGTTTTTCCCTTAGGTTTTTATAATAAGTAGTACATCATAACTTACCGTAATTATGAAGTTTAGTAGAGACTGCAATTGTTCCGTATCTTGCCAAATATCGCTGTTGACTATTATTGTCTCACGGCAGATTGACGTCAAATAGAAGAATTTATACTATTGTGTTTCCTCAGACGAGTAAGGTAACTGAAAGATAACTTTTTCAAAGGCCGGTCTACAATATCTGTCGCGTTCCATTTATCCATGGGCAGTGTTTATCACTAACCAGGTCAAGGTCCTTTGCTAGGTTTTCTAGGCTAAGTTTTACGCTTAAACAGCTTTTTTTTTTCTAAATGATTTCTTTACGGACTTCATGAAAGGCGAAGGTTCTCGTTTCAGTTTTAAGTTTCCTTATGTTTGTTACGTCAGAGCTCCGTCATTTACGCTCCCATGTGGTCCCATCTTGAACTCTGGAGACACATCAGGGAACTCTTCAAAATCAAACAGAAAATGTATACAAAATCGGTTCGGTCGGTATATAAAAATGTACTTGTGTACTGGAATAGTCAATGAGTAAAAAATTCAAAGTTCAAATTTTAAAAGTCTAGATTGGCTAAGTAGAAGAAATAATTTAAGAAGCGAAGGCTATCAGCTCAAGGACAAAAGCAAATGGTTTTTTTTTCTATTTTAATTAAACCGAAACGTATCCTCGGGCATAAATTATAAAAATTGAATAATACGCTACGCCCTTCCGCTTTGTTTTGTTGTTTCAACAATCCTAATTATTTTTGTAAACGGCCAAAAAAAGCCTCTCATAAATCATCGCAACAGTTAGCCATTAATATCGGAGGGCAAACAGAACTAGCAATTTCCATATTTTCTTTCATTCACGATACGGTGAACTTTTTATTTCAAATTAATTACTATAAGCTGTGACTACCGCACGGTTGAGCGGCTACGGCATAGCAACAAATAATGGGTTTGATTCCGAAGAGAAATATTTTGCATCACATAAGTTCAGGTTTCTGTGTTATCACCGCAAACTTAATACTACTTTCGATACTTCGACCCTATTCGACTTTGGGAAAATAGTATTACAGAATATCATTTATGTAGGTGTGATAAGTTAGTGTAAAAAATTTTAGAAAAGATTTGAGCAATAACAGAAAATGTTTAATATTTCGCAGTTTCTATTTATATCGTCAAGTTCATCACCAAAGCATGTGTTACCTTCGAATATAATTGCAATGGGAGCGATCTGTATGTTGATAGCGACGATCGTAAACTGTAAGCGTTTTACGCATCGTTCATTTGCTACATTAAAACATAAAAAAATCTGCGAATTTTGAACGGAAGCGAGCAATAAAGCTATGCATAATAAAGCAAGCGCAACACTCGCTGTTCCCGCTCGTTCTAATTTGTTAAGAGCTATTAAAACGTAAACGCTACACTGATCCATAAGACCCCCAAAGAGTTTGATGATTTCGCAAGAACTCGATTGGCGTAGTGTGTAGTGAACTGGCCTCTTACACCAGAGGGCGTTGGTGGGTTCGATCCTCACCACTGGAAAAATATTGTGTGATGATTTATGTTATGACAAAGTGTAGTTTCCAGTATCTGGGTTTGTATTCATTTACAAAACAAAAGTAAGTTTAAGTATGTTTATCAGTTATCTAGTACCCATAGTACAAGCGTTGCTTAGTAGAGAACGTTGTGTAAGAACGTATCCTAAAAATATTTAAAAATATATCTAAATTTACGAACGTCAGGTATCTGAACTTACTGAATGGCACTAATTGTAAGTTAATTACAGACTTTTCTCCAACTTCCAATATATTACAGATAAATATACAAATACTTTCTAAAAGGCTAAACTTTATTATATTGTAACTAGCTGTCCCGGCAAACGTTGTTCTGCCATATAAATTATTTCTAGGGAATTTTTAGGGTAGAAAAAACTGTTTAGGGTGGACCACCCTTAACATTTAGGGGGTGAAAAATAGATGTTGTCTGATTCTCCACCCTGGCCGATATGCACACAAAATTTCACGAAAATCGGTTGAGCCATTTCGGAGGAATTCAATTACAAACACCGTGACAAGAGAATTTTATATATATGATTGACAGACTTTTAAGAGCAGTTATGGTTAGGTTAGGTTAGGTTAGGTTAGCGTCTTCGCCGTAGACATCTCCACATATTTATTTTATCTAAAATATAACCATTGATATACGCGTCCATATTTTGGGTGCTTTTACTCCGCGATGTGAGGCAGAAGCGCTGCCCGTCATCGCCGCAGTGTCGTGCCGACTCACTCGTGAGCAGTTACGCTTCGACCCCGAACCAACAACACGAAAGTGGTATTAGCCGGTTTCGTTTAACCCGGCAATTTGAGAAATGGCCCCACTTTATATCAATCATTCCATGTTGCTCCAACATTTTCTATCAATACAATAATCAGGTAAATCTGATGCATAACTAATTACGTCAAGAAATCAAGAATATTTTGTTTTTGAACTAAACTACTGCAAAATTCACTCTACTACTATATACTCTCTTAAAGAACAGATTTTACTGTTTCTCTTAAAGATTTTTTTTGCATTGAGACCACTTTGTTGAAATAACTATCTATTACAACTGAGAAAACAAGTATCACAAAACACCCTTGTTAATAAATTAAAGACAAGACATGCACTAATTATTTAAACTCTAAGTCACTAGAATTATTTGAGCCATTTGTGAAATAAGCTTCCATGGCCGTCGTATATCAATTTTCTTCTTCTATTACATTTTAGAAACGAATGGCTGCATAATGCTGTTCGAATTAACAATAAACAGTTTAATTACTTATTAAATCACTCTTAATTCGATAAAAACCAACCAGAGGGAGTCTCAAAACTAATTTGTATACGATTAGCATTAAATTTAAAAAAGTTATAGGCATGTTGGATAGTAGTAATTTTAGTATGTTTTACGTCTTTAAAACAACACATTTTATGTTCTTTATTAAAGTTCAGACACCTACCATTTAATAAAATTATATTATAGATAAATATAGGTAATCATAATATGCAGAAGGCAGTAATAAACTTATTTAAATATATAAATAGATACTGTTCATTTTTTTCGATTAAACTAGTCTTTGTTCTCATTGATCTGCATTAACGGTCTAAAAAGCAAATCATAGACCCGAGCTTAGAGTAGTGGCTGATCCGATCTTTTCTAACTCCCTCGTAATTAAAAAAATGATCTATCCTTTTAGAAAAAGTTTCCTTAAAATTTAATCTTTTCTTACTTGAACATTGCTACAAAAATATTCTTTATAATACATAATAAATTAAGAAACAGAAAACATCCAAAGTTAGTGACGAACTTTTTTTTCTATTTGAAATTTGCAATACCCGTAGGGTTACAGATGCGTTGCCACCTTTTAATAATGAGGGCCCGGTTACCTCACTCTCCAGATGAAACGCAAAGTATAATCCTGCAAATTCTTGTGGTTGTGGGTCTTCCCCGGACGGACCCATGCATTAAACAGTGAAGTATGTTGCGTGGCCCTACCTAGGAATCGAACCCGTTCATAAGAGCATACGTCCGATGTCATAGTTATTAGTTCACGTCTCGCTCTAACGAGCCAGCCCCGAACATTAGCGCTGCGGAATTACGGAGTTTAATGAATGCGGTATTTATTTCGTTGTAATTCGTTTATGTTCGTTTCAGGTCTATGATTAATTCGACGGTTCCATGGAGTTTTTGTTCGACAATTAGGCGAGTGGGCGCGTGCGCGAGTTGCGTGAACGTGTCGTTATGTAATATTACTAAAATAAAGCGGCTAAAACCGGCCTGGCCCTTGTCAAATTATTTATTGCTGATTATACATTTTTCGCTATTAATTTCGGTGGCCTTTCGACACTTTATGGAAGAAAATTACCCGGCTTTAAGACGATATTACAACAGTACGAGATTCGTATCAAAATAGTATAAATTGACTACAGTTAAATCAGTTTCTGTGCTAATTTTTAAGCTCTTTACTTTATGTTGTCCAATTTAAAAGAAATTACGTATTACACAAATGGAAAATATTATCACACGATTGTTACTACTAATAGGATGCATTGATTTAATAATCAATATGATCGATGTCATCGTTCATCGGGCAGAATTCGTGATTGTCGCCGTCGTAATTTTTTTAGCGTTAGCAAAACGTCGACCATTACACGTAGGAACGCGGTTACGAAGGAAGTGGTTAAGCGAGCGAGTGGTTAACGGGCGTCCGAGGGCCATTTAGGCTGGCCGGATCGGCTGTCGCACCTGCGCGGAGCTAAGTAGCCGTGAGATGCCTGCTGTTGGGGCGCGACATCTGCGACTAATTTGTTGCCGGCGACGTTCATTACGGTGGCAAGCCGGCCGAGGTGTCGCCGCACGGAGGGCGACCGCAATTTTGCCCGTAATTCTATAAAATTGCCACACGCATGTGGAAAATGGCGCACGTGGCGGCAACTCTGCACTCTGTCTTTGTATTATGTTGTTAGCATTGCGGCCCGATTCGATCATCCTCGCCTGTGCGTTATTGTAAAGTACTTGAAGCTGTCCAACAAGACGTAAAGATCTAAGCAATGTTAGGATAAAAATACCTTCAACTGGGTTGCTAGTGCAGCACTACGAGTAGCTAGTAATTTTTCAGACGGCGCGAAGAATTGTCGCGCCGAAATACGTCCCTTGTCCTGAATTGATCAAAACTTATGAAGAAAACGGTAATATTGATCAAAGGGACGAACCTGTCCGTTCTTGTCCATCTCGTTGTTGGTGAGCTTGACCTTCTCGAAGGAGACGACCTGCTTGCGCAGCTGGTCGCCGGCGAAGGGCGAGTCGGGGTGGGGGTAGAGGCGCGCGGGCGCGGGCGGGTCCGCCTTGCCGGCCACCAGCCACGAGGAGCGGTGGTACGCGTACCGGTACCGCTTGCCGTCCACCGGCACCACGTCCAGCAGCACCGCGTACCGCGCCTCCGCGCGGCACCCGCCGAACGACACGCGCACCGTCGGGAACATGCGCCTGGACAAGTAACATTTTTTCATTGACAACTAACTGCTGCCCACGACTACGTCTGCGTTACTCTACGCAGACGTAGACGTCAGTGAGATCCCTGAGATGTCTCAGCCCAGCATGAGCCCAGGGTACAATATAAATGAAATTAATAAGGAACAAATTAATGGGATATAAGACGAACTAAACAAAAAAATATTTTTAGGTAAAAATAAATGACGGAGTTTTGAGATACAAAACGTAAGAAGTAATTCTTCTTCGCCTCTTTAGCGTAACAAAAGAAAAAATAAAGTTGGTCGCTCTGCAACCAACTTCGTCGTGTCGCTTTTATGCTGTCGGTGTGCGCGCGCATCGTAAAAATCTTACCCTCATATTTTTTTAAACGCGCCAAACGAAATATAACTTCAGAAATACAACCGAATTGAGTAACTCCTCCTCCTTTTTTGAAGTCAGTTGAACATGACGTCGTCAGGATTGATAAACTATCGTCAATATTACGTCCACCAATCTTACGTTGAGCAGAGAGAGTAGAACATACAAGTACAGAGTATGACTCCCTGGCTAGAAGAAGCATGAAGGCGCACAATTAGTGTCATACCCAGACACTTCTATAGGCCATGGACATCAATAAGTGTTGAAGAGTGAACTACCGCAGGCTGGTGATGATGATCATGATGATGCCTCACATTGCTATCTATTATTACGTATTTATTATTTACATAGATCGGACCATTCAGATCAGTGCGCGGCTTATTGTAAGATTATTTTATAAAATTTAATTTATTACATTTTCAACATTACTTTTTTATGTGAGGAGGTGGCAAGCGCGCTGGCGGTTACAATATCCGCAGAGTTGCAGATGCGTTGTCAACTTATAATAAGGTAGACCCCGGCTACCTAACTCTCCAGACGAAACGCAGAAGTATAACACTTTAACTTCACGCCACTCTTCTGTGGGGCCGTGGTACTTACCCTGCTCATTTGTGCAACAGAGAAGACTTTGGCGAGACCCTACCGTTACCCAAAAGTACCCAGCGTGTCAAAAACGTTAAATGCCTCCATAATAAATAATAACAATTCTTATAACTTCTAGACAAAATTAGGTACACCGATTTTTTAGAACCTAATCTGGTTATAAAAACTAAATTAGGGTACAATATAGGTTGCCTTGGTTCAAAGGCAACTTTACCTCGGCCATAACCGAAATTTTATTTAAGTTCGTTATAATCAGTCATAAAGCAGTTAAAGATTTATAGTTACAATAAAACGTTATGACGAAGAAAGCTTAACCTCATTGCGACAAATTGTACGAGCATAAAATTCGACTTTCTTACGAATGACCTGACGTTGTGACGGCGCACTAATGACCTCAGGCAGCCGAAAACCAAATTAGACGTTAGGACACAAAAAGCTTACAACCCACGAAAGTGTTTTACGAGACCAAAACACATGGCCGCAATAAAAAAAAGATGATTAATGCATCTCGACAAGAAACCGCCGGAGATCCGGACACGGACGGTGACTTGTATAATTACAGGGTGAAACGCGAACTAGGAAATCAAACAAATATGATGTATTCGATTTTAATGCACCCCTAAATGGGCCGAAGCGTTTCCCGCCGGGGCCCGATAACATCTAGCCACCGCAATTTATAACTTCGCCTTTCTTGATTCCCTAAGTTTTTTCTCTCACCCATTTATTTTAAACGGCAGTTTCATAATTTCGATAACCATACAACTAATAGATAAGATAACGTCGGACGGCAATTTGTTCGCTCGCCCCAACGAGTTTGGGCGGTGTTCGTCGCGCTACACTTGTTTCCATTATATCTCAGGGCACGTTAAAGAATGGCCGGCTGGGCGAGTAACGAGCGCCCGGGATTTATTAGGAATGCCTTCAGCGTAATAAAACGCGGGAGTGAAAGAAAGAAATATTGGCGTCCATAAAACACGGACGCGGTGTCAACCTTCCAATAACAGCAGTATGATAATAATAAATACACGGGATCTATAAAATTCCCGGAGGTAGAGCGCGAGGGTCCGGCGACGATAAAGTTCGGCCCCGAGTTAAGCACATACCATAAATAAATCGTATTAAGGTGCGTATTGAATGGTCGGTGGGTATCGTGCGTGCGGCATCGCGATCGCGGTCGACAATAACCCAGCGCCGGTGCCCGGTTTATGCGCGCGACATAAAGCTAATGTCACGTGTCATAAAGGCACATCTCGCGTGCCGTAGAAGTGAATGTCGCGTGACATAAAGACGAATGTCGCAGCGTGCGAGCGCCACCCGGCACGGCCGCGTAATGAGCCGCATCCGTCAAGGGCGACAGTCGATCGACCGCCGATCCCATCACCAGCTCGCCCACGACCAGGAGAATGAATCGTCTGCATTCAACGTCGTTGCACCACAACGGTTTCGTCAGTCTCTAGATACAGCCTTTACGTTCATATTTACTGCGAACTGTAATTTTTATAAATTGTTGGCATTTATGTTTTCTGGCGCAAGAAATAATAAATTTCACGCACATTAAATCACAAACACCTGCCAGTGTTTCCTTATAAACGTGCCTTAGATGCGTTGATAGGTTCGAACGGGGCTGTTCGAACATGATGCAGCGCAAAAAATCGATAAATAAAGTAATTTCGATGAAGCTTATCGATAATCTTCAAAATTGCTGTAACCTGAATTATATCGACAAAATTTTGAAGCTTGAGCTTGAAGAGTTAATTTCCGCCTGGTTCCACTTGACACGGTCATGTGTAATGTTAAAATAAAAATTGCAAAGCATACTTAATCGTTATCCTTCGTTTGATCATTATTTCGAATCAATCACGACAAACTCGTGTTTTTCCAAAACATTGTATAACGAAAGGCTATCGGTACGTAATATTTTAAAACGACCCTATGGTCTTCGACTGGCGGCGTCCTGTCTAAGTATTGGCACCATTAATATCGGTGAATAATTAAAAGCGCCCTTGCCGATACAAAAGTAAGGATTCAATATTAATGCGGCGTTTCGAGTTTAATGAAGTCGGCAAAATTATCAGAGAACAATTTGGTGCATTTGCATAATTCATTAATATAAGTCGACCGACGATGCCTTCGATAAGTTGAATAAATACAGTGCGAGTGTTATCTATCTATCTATCAGCCGAAACATTTACGAAACATTCCAATGTCGTACAAATACAGGCGTCATATGCAAAATATACCTGTTTCAAATATTATTATTTGCACAATAATCATCATAATTTCAGCTTGTTTTAGATCACTGCTGACAATCAAAATCTGGTTTCAACCACAGGTTTCACTATCCTACCCGATGATGTGTGGCGATGTAGCCGAATAAAGTTACGTTAGCTAAGTAAAAGCCTGTTCACTTTTTTGAGGACTTCGTAATACGAATAGAACGTTCTTAACGTTTACGTAATTAACTGTAGTAGGGCCACGCAGCAGCCTCGCTGTTGCACGAATGGTCAGGCTCGTCCGGGTAAGTAATACGACCTCACAGAAGACCGGCGTGAAGTGGAAGTATGACAAATACTTTCGCGTTTCCTCTGGTGAGTGAAGTAGCCGGAGCCCAATCTTCAAAAGGTTGTCAACGCATCTGTAACTGTCGAGTGTAGCAGATGTTCATGGGCGGCGGTATTCACTTAACATCAGGTGAACCGCCTGCTCGCTTGGCAAATTTTCTCATAAAAAAAAACGTTTATGACGAAAAGAAATTGGAGAAATTTGTCGCATCCACATTAGAAAGTTCAATAAACGGTACCTTAGATAACTGCGTACACGTGCGATTAATTTATTGGCGTATATGCGCAACTTATTCTACTGCGGTGGCATTAATACGTAAGTACCCATAAAACTTTTAGAATTATCAATAATCCTGAAAAGATGTAAAAAATATATGTTCGAAATATTAGTAGATGAGCAATATTAAGTATTCTTTTAAATATATTTACATCGTAATGCTATTCAATTACATAGGACATCTAGAACCGTTGGAATGAAGGCCATTAATTAATACGGAAGACAACATTTTAACGAAACGGCTACAATGACAGTTGCAATGACAGCTCAATACATCAAAATTGTACTATGACCTTATTCACCGACAAGCTGGTATATTCTATTTCCCTACTCTCAATTCGTAAAGAGACAGTAATGTAAAAATAATAAGGGCCTTAACAGCTACTTTTAAAAATAGCTTTAAAACTTTCACCATTTCATGTTTAACAGGGTGACAATGTGTATGTCAAAAATGCGATGCAACTATCCAATTATTAAAAATAACAACATACCCAACTAAAAAGGAGAAAGTGCGAAATGTGTACTGTAGAAAAAAAGAAATAACTGGAATTCTCTCAAAAATAACTGCCATTATTGCATTGTCAAGGCTAACATTCGAGAAAATAAGAATTTACAGTTAATGACTATTTGCGTTAATTTGTTTTATTTCTTAATTACCTTTCTTCTTGTAATCTCACAAGTCATTAAAGGTCGAGCAAATGTCTCAATTTATATTGTTTCCGCGTGAACGTCAGCTTGTTAGCACTATTTTGTCACCTTTACAGATATGCGGTACTTTAATTAAAAGGAGATCTGACAAATATTCTCTGTTATGAGAACAAACACTCTTACAATGCTAATGAAGCAAATTCATAAATTACTTTACTACATATCGAGCAAAAACAAATGCCATTTGAACGCCTAGCAATCGGCACGGATGGAATGGAACGACAAATATTTATTGCCTTTTTATAAATTAAACCGTAACGACACACGTTAACGCGACTGAGTTAGGAGCATGGCCGTCTTCCGTGAAATGCCAGCAACCGGACACGGCGAACGCACGCAAGATATCCGAACCCGCCGATTTTATTAACTATCGATTAACACTCAATAACGGACCCATTATATTTGACCTTTTACCCTTCATTTGAGAAAAGCTTGATGCTGAGAAATCTAATAGCATTATAATTAGATACTAGTCTTCGTGTCT